TTGATGGTCAAGGACACTGAACCCCTCCCCCCCACCTAGTTGCTCAGAGGAGCCCATCTCTGATGCCGTGTCCTCAGGAGGATTTGGATGCTGCCTGGCTGGCTGCCTTCTCTGCTCCACTTGTGACAACCTGCACAGAGGAAACAACCATTTTGGGAAATGAATCATCCAATAAACGACATATGAACAAATTAGAGCTGCAATAACAATAAGAAAACTCAGGGCAATTTCTACTCATTTTGCCTCTAGCGTTTTACATGTGTATTTCAGAACATGGACAAAACTGAAGGCAAGCAAGGGGGACTTCTAAATGGATGTTTTCACAAACCTCAGTGTGTGCAATGGTTAAAGCGCTGAAAGACGAGGAGGAAAGGAACTCATGCTATTCCTTGATGAATGATGATTTTCCAGAGCAGTGCATAATACTGGGATGCTGCTGAACAGAAACCCTGCATCGAGTGTCTCTGTTGCATATTTCAGAATGATTCATTATCTGTGTCAACACTGACTGAGGTTCAGGGCCTTAGCATTTGTTGTGCATATGATATGTGGGTGACAAAAGTGCTGTCGATGGATATTTGGGAGGGATAAAGGAGGAGGGAGGAAGCGCGAGAGAGATGGGCTTGTACTCCCGGCACACTATTTAAAGCCGATGGCTCCGATCCAGAATCAGGAGAGAGAAACCTGGGATTGTTATTTTCATATAACTCTGACGAGTGCTGGGGAGGTTTTTAGTTTTTTTCATTTCAATTCTGTTGTAAAACAGTAATTGAAGTGTATCGCTTTCATCTCCACTTATCTCCTCTGCTCGTCTCCCTTTGGAGCGCTGCTTGTCTTCCCACCGTTTCCGCATCTTGACAATGTTGGTTTGTCTATGATATATTGTCTGGGATTCCGTTACTTCATTGTAGCTCGTTGCTGATGTGCATCACAATTAAATTCAAACCCCAAAGAGGAAGCGCTCAGTTAACCCCCACCCCCACCACCTCTTCCTCTCTCTCCTGTCCATGGCTGCTGCAGTCTCACACTCGCACCCCTTTCAATCACTGTCTTTTTCCACCACCTCTTTTCCTTTGATTACCCCCTCTTCTCCCCTGTATCTTTCTTTTTGTGCTGGTGTTCTCTCCATCTCTGTCTCTTTCCCCCTTCTACTCCCTTCATGTTAATAAGCAGAATAATGGTGTTGTGGGCTGTTCCTGTTTGGGGAGTTAATTAAAATGGCAAATTTACAACCCACGCAGTCAAAACAATGGAGACCCCTGTTTTCTGCAGTGACATGGTGAGATATTAAAGTCCAGAATCAAGAAGGCTCCCAAACTTGCCTTTACACTTCACTTCCTTAACTCGAGCTACTAAATAAATCTATCTACAAATTATCTTCTAATTCCAGAAATCTCTATCTGTCTCTCTGTCTGTGGAACGCATATCTTGAGAATCGTTCATCTTATCTTGCCCAAGGAAGTGCATTGTCTAATGTGGTGCTGTTGGGACATGTAATACGGTCCATTTTAATACAAATTGAATAAGCAGATGACCAGTGCTCTGCAGCACCGGTGTCAATGTCGATCACCACAAGAGTGCATTTAACACTAAGTTAACGACAAAAGCAACAACAAGCGATTTCACTTTTAGAGTTTCAGAAAGAAAGCTGCAACCAGTAAAACCACAGATCGAGCAAAGAGCCCATTCCAAACAGTTTAGAGTGGGCACTGCACTAGTTGTCTTAAAATCGTGATCTCCATCTTTATCTCGACTCCACCAATTCGCAATCTCATTTCTATGTGCTTCATTCTGCTGTATCAAAACAAGCGCTCCTACTTTCTCTAAAATCATGAGAGGTTCGTGATCTAATTTCAAAACAACAAAATCCAGATTATAATGTTTTCCAGAATCATGCCGCCCTCTCCTGCAGTACTGAGGTATTCACGTTATTCATATCAGAGATCCAGTGATTACCTTGTGATCTCATTTTACTGCTGCATGAAAAGCAGTTGTGTGGAAGATATTAATATGATTATTACGGCACTGAGCCAGAAACTACACTGACAATGACGGTGATGATGAGAAACTGAAGATGGGGAAATAGTGACATCTGCCTATTCCCCATCTGCCACCACCTCACACACACAAACCCCAAATGATTGTGCTAGCGTGGCTAGCACAATGCAGCTCACTCAGGCTTCAGCAACAGTGGGGCCGGCTGAGCAGGACAGGAGCTGTTGCCATGGTTACATTTCTCGGCTCGCTCTCTCACAGCCCAGGAAAACTGTGTCATTATCCTGTACTTTGGATAGGAGAAGAGAGAGAGAGCGAGAGAGACAGAGAGCGGGGGAATACAAAGAGAGAGAGAATGAGGCAGAAAGGGGAGACAAAGATAGAAAAGCAAGGAGAAAGAAGAAGAGGGGGCTGCAGTTCACACAGGCCAACCATGCATCTAACACACACATCATCAAAATCTGCACCTATTTGTGCTCCTCGATTCACCACCTTTCCTTTTTTTCTCCCTGCTGCTTTTTATTCTGTCGGCGGAGCTATAGTTTTCACTCTAATAGGTAAACAACTTCAATCCTGACAAATAATGCTTGGAAATATCAGGTAAAAGCCGTGTTGTGTCAGGTGATAATGGGATATGTGTCTGGTTTTTCCGCTCTCTCCCGGGCATCTCATATGAAAATTGTCACCAACAAGCTATCATGTTGATAAAAAAAAGATCATCATCTGTGCATCATTGTATTTATTTTAACACACCGACATCCATGTGCCACGCTAATGATACCCAGTGAAGGGTTCTTATTGAATAAATGCACGGTCCACAATGACGACAGCACAGATCGGATCCACTTCTAACAAAAGTGCAACAACGAATTATATCCAACCGGAAATATACACAGAGAATGTTCATGATTTTTGTGCAGTACGGTTGTGCGGCTATGTTGATGCTTTGCTCGGCATGTTTCTGCAACGTGAGGTCCACATCAGAGGAGTTACATTGTAAACTAATTACATGGCCGTGTAAATAGAGGCACCCTGCTGATATGGGCTGTGCACCACATGATTTCCCCTGGTGGAGCAGAGCCTGTTTGTTTGCTGTGCTGCGTGTGTGTGTGTGTAGGCATGCATGTGACCTGTACATGCAGGTATATGTGTGTGTGTGTGTGTGTGTGTGTGTGTGTGTGCGTGTGTGTTGATGGAGAGCATCTTTTGTAACCTGTGTGCTGTGCTTTATTGAGCTGCAAGCTAAAAGAGTGTCTGTTTTGAGGAGTCGGAGTTGCCCCCCCGCCAAATGAAAGGCTGCCCTCTACACCCCTCGCCCAACGCTGCTCTCCCGAGAGCCTTGCTTATATTACTGTGGCTGTCTGCTGGTCAGAGAAATGCAAACAGCACAGAACAAAGCCACCTTCCATAGAAATGTGAGGAAAACCCCTTGTGCAACTCTCATCTACCAAACTCTCCCCATGGCTTTTAACCTATTATAATAAAAGAGGTGATGTGGGCGATTAGTATTGTTGATATCCAACTAGAAAAAGATAAGATGGAGGAAAATTCAACTCTATTGGACTTTATTTAAGTATTTCCATTTAATGAAAATATCAATAATTGTACTTTTTATTCCACTTTATGTGACAGCTGTAGTTTCTGGACACCCACTCAGGTGTTTTCAGGTCCTCAACCTGATGCGACCCCGAGTCCCAGTGGAGACATGGTTCGAATTACACAATGTCACAAATCTATGGATCAACAAGAATAATCATAGAACAATTGTTAAAGGGTAAATTGTTCTGCTTGTACTTGTGCGCCAACACTAACAGGAGAGTGAGAGAGCTGTCAGTCAGTCAGTCTGAGAAAAGATCTGATGAAGCAACAGAAGTGAAAACCTGTGTCAGTAGACTTTAAAAAGAACATTATGATAAGCTCTTAAAAGACTCTTCATTATGAAGATTAAACCGGTGGTTCACAACCTTCTTGACTCATGACCCTTTTCAATAAAGCCCTGACTTTGAGCTGTCAGCAGTTTCACCAGAGAAACTTTACCCAGGGTTTCTTTAAAATGATTCTTTTAGCCCCAAGAGGTGAAAACATCGCTCAAAAATGCAAAGATTAGAGATTATTTCTGAATAGCTGAATGCAGGTTTGTGTAGTAGACCTACCTGCTTAGAGGAAAAGTTTACTTTAAAAATAATGGAGCTTATTTAGTGTTGAAAAGTTTAATGAGGATGATTGACACCACTTGTCTTGTCTGCTCGCTCTAAAGCTACAAGCTACCACCAGCAGCCGGCTAACTAACTAACAAACCTTTTTATCAAAGCTTAAATAAAAACTGATCTCCTTTAAAGAAAGCAAATACTCTGTATCTCCATTGTTTTAATGTGAAAATCTTAAACAAATTCACTGCTTTGGTTTTAGTTTTCTCATCTTAATCTCAGCGAAAGAGCAAATAAGAATATTTCCAAAATGTTTGCTCTCGCGGTCTCATGATTTATCTTGTGACCCACTTCAGGGGGACAGAGCCATAGGTTGGGAAACCACTGACCTCAAGTACCTCACTGTATATAAAGTATGTACCAAAAAAATACATTGATATGCTGCTTATGCACTGATGCAACCGTATTAAAAGCCTTAAAATGTCACGTATATAGTCACTTTCTTCAGATTGTGCACATTTATTTATAAATTGATACTTCAAGTATTTATCAGGTCATAATATTAGAAGATGTAGTATTTTAAATGCAGGACGTTTACATGATTGTATTGCTACTTTTATTCAAAGTGAGGCCCTGAGTACTTTGTCCGCCACAGTTTAGATTATACAGTAGCGCCAGTGTGGTGAAGTATCTCTTCTCAAAAGTGCTACAGCTGTGGGAGCGGCTCCAATCAGCGACAGTTGTGCAGTAATTGCAGTTTTCATCGTCTCGTTCGGAAGCACCATGCAGGTTTGCAAACGCGTTGCAGTGAAAATGCAATCACAACTAATCAGAGCTTCTTTTGTTTCCTGCCCACAGCGCCCAACACCGCTCCCTACGGGACAGGAAGTGCACAAATCCCGCTGGCCTGCCGATACCTGGTCCTGGCTCTCTCCTCCTTCATCAGCGTGTACTAGGCCAGAGTAGACACAATGACTGTCAAGAGCATTTATGAATCCTTTTTGACATTGCTGATGGCTGGAATCCAATCTGGTACAGTTTCTTAAAAAGCCGTGAGAATAATCAGCGTTTCTTTGTGTGGGGATTTTTTTGGGGTGAATTTTCTGTTTTGTAAATATTATGATGTTTTTTTTATTATTATTATTATTATTCTCTCCTCTCCTGTTTCATTTTTTTCTTTTCTGATTAATCGACCACATTGTGAATCAGTGCTCACCCCCACCCTCCAACCCCCACTACACCTCCAATCATATCAAAATCCCCCAAACCTCCCAAATGAGATACTTTCATGCCTCTTTCACGTGGAGGCGATGACGCAAAAATTTCAGTTTTTGTACATGGCTAAAAAGAAGCAATTGTGCCAGTACACAGAATTACCATACCAATGTTGTAATGAATGTATTATGGGTTGTTGAATAAAGGAAAGACATTTAGATTCCTAACAATAAAAATTCAGATTATGGAGTGTGCTTAAAAATACAGAAGAAAAAAAAGGAAAAAAGAAAAAAAAAAAAGGCCTGGACCTGTATTGTCATGATTACTCAATAGATGGATGAACAGTGTTGAAGGTGTGCTTTGTTGTATTCTGAAATGGGTCCTTCAGTTACTATGCCTGCCTAACGATCGATCAGGCAGCTGTTCAAGTAGCAAAGTATCCTGTATTGTATCTTTATATTTTAATATAGTGTAGGCTTTTGTTTTAAAGTGGGACCAGCTTTTCTCATTCGACCAAGAACGGTAACACGGTTTCACGACTTTGTACAGTGTAAAGGGAGGAACATCGCTGCCCTATGTTTACATTTTTTCTTGAAAATATAAATACTGCAGTATATTCTCCATACTTATGTTTCAGTGAGTCCACATATGTGAATGTCAGAACTAACTGTTGCAGTTGAAAAGAAAAAGCAGAGCCCGAGTTCACAGAATTCAACCTTTTCATTTTTCTCAAAGATGTAGTTCTCTGAAACAAGCCACCTCCAGCAGGCATCGGTTAGCTGCGTACTTACTGGTCATCTTCCAGCTGAAAACCCACAGTTACACACTGTACGTCGCTTTACTGTAGGTTTTTGGCTTCAACTTTTGGCATGATACCTAGATAACTGAAAGTAGCATTCTGCCGCACAGTATTTTATTCCTCTCTCATTCTTTGCAGATAATTCACTACTTAAATATATTACAATCTGTGGTACGGTAAATATATATCCTTCATTTCACCATTCAACAAATAACTGAAATCCAGAGAGCCAATGTCCACATCCAATTAAAGTAAGATTTCTGGTAAATACACCAACATATGTAATTAAATACATGATCTACACAAAACTGAAACCCACTCAGACTGCTTTCCAAGTCCTTCTCGTGTTAATTATGGGCAGCGAAACAGAAATAAAGATCATGAACATGCTCATCTCTACTAACATGGCCTAAGGTGCTAACACCTGCTCCAAAATGACTTCAACACCAACAGACGACCGGTCCACAGAGCCAGTGAACGTCCACAGGAGTTCAGAATAAATTAAACCATGAGGTCGTTTAATAGAAGAAACTGTGGCGATGTGTTCACTCCTGTTAAATATAATCAAAAACAGTGTTATTGTGAGGGTTTACTTTCTGACAACACTGTCAGTGGTCATCTTCAAGTATCTTCAATCCATGGTGTAAAGAGACACTGAACTGTAATGCCTTAATAGAACCATAGACATGAAATGAACCTCAGTTAGAAGAACGCCTCCAGATGCTCTCAATGAAATCCAACTCATTTGTTTGATACACTCCTGATGATTGAATGTTCATTTGCCATTCAAATTAGGTATTTTATTCACTGAAACTAATCTCTCAACCTATTGCTCTCGCAGGTATTTTTAATAAGCCAGTTGCATCTAATAAAAATGCAGTATTCGTCCAACAGGTTAACATGTTTGCAAGTCTTGTTTGGATTGTGTTATATCTTGCCCCCCGATCAAGGGACTAACAGTATGTAACTGCAAACCTATAGAGAAATAGCCATCGCAGTTAAAAGACTTAAAGCACAAACACTGTTATTACTTTTATGTTTTGTGGTGCTTTGTTTTGAGGTCTGCTAAACATTTTGTTTTCTTTCATTGTTTGTACTGAAATTGTTATCAGCTTGTTTTAAAAATTATAAAAATACTGCACCATATGATCTTGTTTAAATGTTAAGGTATAATGAAAATGGGTCAGAAATATATTTATTCTCTTCCTTTATGAAATCAATGTATAAAAGACACATTTGAAACATGTAAAACTGAATATGTGACATTTATTTGAATGAGGCTCAGTATGGCATAGTTTATAATGTCGTCGGGTTCATTTAGATGCCATAACTGTTGTTGATTTTTTTGTCGGAGTACATTAAAAAGAACAATGTTTGCAATCAAATTACCTACTTTTTGAAAGAGAGAGGGTGTGAACAATATAACAGTATTATAGAACAGAATCAATGTGTGTATATTTGGAGAAAATAGGATACCTTTTGATCTTTAGAGCCAGTGTGTAGTCATAGTTTTCACACACTTGCGTGTTTGACAATGTGCAGAGAGTATGATTGTGCTGCATGTCAAAGTTAACCTGTGTTTTTGAGGTGGCCATTTTACAGATATTCATAGATTTTCCTTTTGAATGGAACCAGTTTTTTTTCCAAAAGGCTTCTTTTTGTTTGGTTCTCAAACCTGGTCTAAAAATACATACCTCTTACAGATCACCAGGCCATTTTCGTTTGTGATTTATTTGAAACAACTTTGGTGATTAACTAAAACTACTATTCAGAGTCATGATGATTATTGTGGCACATTGGTGACAGTCTGGAGTTATATTGGTTGCTTGTCTAAGCAGTTAAGACCATGCTAGTATTCCATATGAAATGTATTGGATGTTGATTATTTTGAATAATGGTTTTAACGAGTCCCTTTTATCGAATCACTGTTATTTGTAATAAAAGTCTTCATGTTACAATATAAACTCATATCTGAGTTGATAAACATTAATTTGTCGTTATCACTGCAGGAGGGTTTGAGCCCCAGAACATCAATGCAAGTGTCCTCTTTAAAACACAAAATGATCCCAAGAGGCTTCTCATTTTTATCAACATGTATTTCATGAGTTAGCTTTAGTAAGAACGAGTTGTTTGATGGTAACTACAGTCTAATATAAGTATCATATAAGCTGGTGTGTGTTTGTTGGAGAAGGAAACATCATCTCTACTATTTCAATTATCTGTTGGGTAACAAACAATCACATCAAAATTCAGCCCTATGCAGTCAGAAATAAAAAGAATCGCTCAGTCACACATTTAAGGACATAACACATGAATATTTTAATCATTCAGAGCTGCAGCTTCTCAGGCGTTTGAACTCTAGTGTTTCTTATGTTACACAAAGCAGTTTATCATTTTCAGTTTTCCAATATCGTCTGTGTTTTCTGTTTACTATCAGCTAAAGCTAACAGACGGTAAATAATATATCTTTCAGTTGTACCTTTAGAAACATGTTAATCTCCTTGAGCTGCGGATCTTTGGTCCATCGGGCCTGAGCTGGAGCTTATCTGTGCATCTGTAACATTAACTCTAATACTGTTTACAATCAACTAAATCCAGCATACGCTATTTCACATCACACGTTCATGTTTTAATCACATAAGCAAGGATCTTTGGAACATTAGCTAACAGCTACAGCAGTAACAATAGTAGCATCACAATAACTAGTTTTCCCTAATGTTACAATAGCTTACGGTTTAATCAATGTTGATGTTTTCTATATATCTTTGCTATTTATTCATATTTAACTAAACCTATTGATAAAGGTCTGAACACCTGATATCACATCACATTAACTAAAAGCAGTTTGTTTTGTCACTTCGACAGTACCGTACCAATTGTAACACAAGCTAGCATTACAAATGCTAACTTCAGCTAACGTTATAAAAGTCACAATCGCAGAAGTGGTAAGTTCATGTATTTTTACATGTGTTAAACTACTTTTGGTGGTAGACATGTTTATGTATTAAGCTCATGATCTTTAATATTGTAGAGAGAAACCCAACAGTTTATAACGTCTCCACCGTCTTAACTCCAGTTTTGTCATTCTGCATTTAACAACACATGCAGTCGTCAACTCTAAAAGCTCGAGCAGAAATCCAGAGATATTAAATGAATGAATAATCAATCTAAAAGACAACACCTGTGAAAAGTTTGCTTTCTCAAACCCAAAGATTTCATGTGGTGCAGGTGTCGGAACAGTAAAATAAAGAAATGCAATCACTCAAGGCTGAAATTTACCTTTCGTGAATTGATCTGTATTTCTTCATAAAAATGAATTATCAAGTTCCTAAAATCCACCTGATAAAAACATGTATCCAGGTACAGTTCAAGCCTTTATTTAAATTGTTGTCATCAGAACTTACATGTCTAAAACAAATTGCAGTAACAAGCACGTTTGAGTCACAGCTTCTGCTCATTCACCTCCCACATAAACACTGCTGGGATAAGTCTCCAGGTTGTGGAGACGTGATGGACACACTGGTGTGTTTGTACAATGAAGCTTTGAGTTATTGAGTCGTCTTAATTGTGCCGTATCATGAATATTTGATCCCCTCCCCTCTGCCCTCAAACACGGTGTAAATCCCCCGGAGCACAGATGGCCAGATGCCACAGTACATAGGATTAATCACCGTTTGCTCTGCATCGTCATCATTGACTGGAGTGTGTCGCTCACTTTACTGGATCTGGAGATATTTACAAACCACTACTCATTCTGTCCCATGATGCATCTGGGCTAGATTATACACTTTACCCCAGCAGTATGGGGCTTTTGAGCATCCTTTGGCCTCAATACAATCTTGACTAAAACGTTGACGGCTCTGTGTGTGTGTGTGTGTGTGTGTGTGTGTGTG